AAGGGCCAAAATTGGAAGTCAACGATAACGATAAAAAAACAATTGATGTCATAGTTGCATAGATATAGTTATTAGACTGTGATGCTTACCAAAAATTGGGGATGTCCAAGCCTGCTTGTTTGATGTTTCGAAATGTTCATTTTGGTAACTAAAATTTTTATTTGCCAAAAAATAAACGATTAAAAAAATTATAATAAAATAAGAAATATTCTTAATTTCAGTTTCTTTTTAACTGAAGTAAGATAAACTTTTGTTAATAAAAATAGGGAAAAGGGTATGATATACCCCTCAATTTTGCTATTTGGAGCTGATATGCCCCTCGTTATGAAAGTGGCTCATATATACCCTTACCGTTATACAAACGGCTCACATATACCCCTACCGTTACAAAATGAGCTCACATATACCCTTCATTTAACGGAAGTGAAAAAATTAATTTTAAACTTATATTTTTTACTTATAATTTTTTTTAAAAATCATTTAGGGGTATATAGGATTCTTCTAGCAAAGTTCAAGGTATATTTCAATATTTTTCATCCATAAATTATTTTTTGATTTTCATTATTTTAGTTTCTTATTCTTATTTTATTTTTTTCTTTCATTCCTTAGTGTAAAGAAAAAAATTTAAAACTATTTTTTTGTGGCTATATTATAATTTAAAACAAATTTTTTTTTGTCTATATTGTAATTTAATTTTTGTATTTGAAGAAAAAAAAATTGGTCATCTATAATAAGTTTTACAAGAATATTAGTGAAACATAAATAAATTTGACCATCAAAATAATAAATCTAAATTAGTCATTGAAACAAAAAAAAGTCAAAAAATATGTTTGAGGAAGATTAAATATACCCGTATGGGATTATATAAATATTTTTAAAAATAATAAAAAATGAAACTAAAATTATTATTTTTTCATTTCCGTTAGAGGGAAAGGATATATGTGAGCCATTTGTATATAAGTAAGGGTATATATGAGCCACTTTCATAATGAGGGGTATATCAACTCTAAATGACAAAGTTGAGGGGTATATCAGACCCTTTTCTCATAAAAAAAATATTATTAAGAATAGAATATATTTGAAAAGAAAATAAATAATATATTTATCTAAAGGGGATATTTTTTTACCAAACTATTAATTAGGGGCATTTTCATTCAATTTCACTAAATATAAAGGCATTTTGACCCTAGTTCGTAAAAAAACGTGTTTCATTCCTTTATAATACTCTCACATGATATTGTCACCTTAGCAAAAAAAAAAAAAAAGATATGTCCAGAATAAGTATCACTTAAAAATTCAAGATAAAATTAGTATATTTTTTCAATTATACCCTTCCTTATACTCCATCTTTTTATTAGTATTCAATTTTTTAAAAAAATTATTACATAGAGATAATTTAATAAACTAATTTAGCAAATATAAGTTTGCTAAGATTACATTTATTTTGAGACGAAAAAGAAAAACAATCTAAATAACTCTTATATTTATTTTAATTTATCATTCCGATCCTTATATTCCACGTAATTTCATCAAGACGTCTAGTCATTTGATTCAATGTATCAAAAGAGCCTTTTAGGAAATTTCTTGGAAGCATTAATTTTGACTCCATTAAAATTTAGAACCTACTTGAATTCCACAAAAGGGTGGCTATGTATCTATGGACCATTTTGGTGTTTTAATCATTAGTGGTTGGTTTTATTGTAGACTTTGTGATGTGAATCTGTTGTTCTAGGAAAATTCAAAAGTCAAATCATTCGGAGTTTTTCATGGATTTGAGGTCCTAAATTAGAAATTGGTGAGATATTAGCCTTTAGGTTGACTTTAGTCAACATTCGGGGTTCGAATGCTCGGATCGGGTTTCTGAAAGTTCTAAGTATTATATTTAGGGATGATTTTATATCTAGAGGAGGTCTAGGTTGAATATTCAAAGGTTCATTTGGCCTTTTTAAGCGGAATATTTGTTTCTGGTGACTTTCACGAGTTTCATCTCAAGGTGATCTCAGATTCATGTTTGATGGTTCCATTGAGTCCGGAACGTCGAGTTTAGTCAAGTTACATATTTGGTTTGTGTGTATGGGATTCCAAACGAATTCTGAGGGTCATTTTAGGAACTATTGTGCCTTGTCTAAGTTGTTGTTGTTGTTATCTGGTGCCTTAAGTTGTTCATCGTGATTGCGGAGCCCTCCTTCGCGACCATGTGAGACTGTTTTCTTGTTGGATCATGATTGTGTGACCCTATATCGTGATCACGATGGTCAAAATTAAATTATTTGACCTTTTAACTCATTGCGACCGTGAAGCCTTAGTCATCGCGATTGCAAAGAGAAATTTTCACCTAGGCCGAATGTTTTCCTAAAATTGGGATTTCAACCCCATTTCACTATTTTTTAGTATTGAGAACTCGGTAGAGGCAATTTCAAAGTGCATTTTCAAGATTCGATTTTGGGTGATGATTTCTACATCCCTAACTCATTTCCCCATTTATTAATGGATTATATTGATGGTTAACATCAAGTTTTTGACTCCCATTGAAAGGGGTTTTGAAAAGGTTGAAGAAGTTTGATGAATTTGTGATTTTGAGTTGAATACCACTCTGTTTTCGAAATTGTTTTCACCAGTGGATTTCAAATGTTTTGGGTCACATATTTATTTAACAATTTTCATATTTAAATCTTATTTTTGGTATCGGGTTTTGAGCCAAATTGACCCACTTATTTAAATTGCTTGATATGTGTGTTGTTATTTTCATAATCTCATTGAAAATACTTGTTTGACTAGATTATGTTGATTTGGATATCGTTCATTAGGGAAAATCTCAAGTCTCGAATTGACTTTTGATTGGATTAAGACAATCGAACTTCTAAACCTTGTTGAAACTTGTAGAATCCTGAACTCTCTTTCTTGTATGTGTTGGAGAGTAATGACAATGAGGTTATGGGTTAAATGCTCAAAAATGAATAAGCTTAATGATAGAAACATGATTAATTAAAATGGCAATGTGTTGATAATGGTGTATTGTGCATTGTGAATTGCCTTGGTGTATTTGATTCGGTGATTGATGTGATACTTTGGTATTGTTGTGGATGTGAATTGATTGTGATTTTTATCTCTTCATTATTGTGAACATGCCTATTTGCATTGATTTTGAAACATTGTGAGGGCATATGTTGTATTGATGTCGAATTCATTGTCGACGAGTGTGATTGATGCCGAGATCATTGTCAACGAGTGTGATTAATGTCGAGGTCATTGTCGGTGAGTGATTGATGTCGAGGTCATTACCGTTGAGTGTTATTGATGTTGATGTATTTGCTGGCGAGTGTTATTGACACAATGTTTTTACCGGTGAGTGTTACTGCTGTCGAGGTCATTTTTGGTGAGTGTTATTGATGTTGAGGTCTTTGCCGATGAGTGGTATTGTTGTCGAGGTCTTCGTCGATGAGTACATGGACTATGGGTGTTCCCTATGAGTGTCGATTGATATTTTTGCCTAATAATTTTGATACTTGTGTTTGGTTTACTTGATTGTTGTGTTTAATGATCGTGTTACTTGTGATTGATGAACATGATATATGTGATTGATGAACTATAACTATTGAACTATGATTATGGAACCATGTGAATTGTACTTTGTAAACTGTTAGGTTGGGCTAATTTCTATACAGGTTGTAGTTGTGACGGTTCGGTTGGGATGAAAGATGTTCTTATTTTCTTGCTAGTTTTACCTTGTTTTTAGTGGGTCACTTGCTAAGTCGTATTGTTTTGTACTCACCCCTTGCTTCTACACTTGTGTAGGTTCTTAGCCCGGATATGTGTGATTGCTTTTCTTCTATCTACATATGAGGCTTATCTGTGGATACTTTGAGAGGTAGCTGCTTGTCATCCCGGCGGGCCCTCTTGTTCCTTATTTATGTTCTATTCGAGAAACAAAGACATTGAGACTTGTATTTATCTTTCAAATTTTGTATTATTACATTAGTGGCTTGTACACGTGACAAGTAGGTTTTGAGAGTATTGAGAATGACTAAGTTTCCGCTCTTATGTTATTGTTAGTTTATTCCCATATTTCTTTCGTATTGTTGGGTTTAAGCTGACTTGTCTTGGTGGGATTATACGAGTGTCATCACGTCCATTTTTTAGATTGTGACAAAAAATAATTGAAGTTACACTACCTCTCATGAAAAATAATTATTTGACACATTCAAAAAATAGGCTAACATGATTTGCACAATTTGCAATTTTAAAGTATAGATATGATCATACAAATGTTATTTCACGAGGGGATTTCGGTAAAAAGTGAAGGTAAATTTTTTGAAAAACTAAAAGATGATGATTCAATCCTTGGCATTTATGGTGTTAGAGTCTCAATCTACAAAATTATCATGCAAAAGCAATCGAAGGCACATGAATGAACATACATCAAGAATATCGTCTATGTAAAACAGTAAAAATATTAGGTGAAATACACTAAATTATATGTTTGTACCTCATAAAATAAAAATGAGAAAATAATAAAAGCGTATGTAGCCAATTAAAGCTTGATTATTCATATTTGTAGATTTAAACGATATCATATATCATCTTGATCGCAACACACAAGTCACTATACGATGATCCACGTCAATCATTCAACCAAACCGACATATTATTCTTGTATAATTATTCATTAAAAGTTTTCTTTAATAATATTGATAGTTTTTTTACACAAATATATACTATATGACTCGGTATATATGTGCAATGTCCGTGTTGAAAAACTTATACATAAAACAATACCCAATAGGATATATACTTCATACTATTAATAATTAAAAATATCAAAACTAAAATACATAGATTATTTTCTCAACCAAAATGTGTCAAGAGTGTATAAAAGAATGTAGGGAGGAAATTAGAACCATTTTTGGCGGCAATAGAATGGACATTTATTGGTTGGATTTGGACTGTTAATTCCACGTAGAAATGAGTAGGCCTATTTTGTTTTGTTCCTCTTGTACCATTTCTCCATTCAGAATGTGAAATAAATTTGAATTTACAGAGTTTGAAGGGGGTTGAAATGAATGCTTGCTCGGAATATTATTCCGCACAAATATAGTAAACACAATTTCTTATCCCTAAAAACATCTACGTATTAATTTGTTGTTGTTGAATCAATCACGTTAGAAAATGCCTTCAACGATTCAAGGCGATGAGGGTATGAACCCCATTGTTGTGGCAATTGATAAAGACAAGCACAGCTCTTCTGCTGTCAAATGGGCGGTTGATCATTTCGTCATAAGCAATCCAGCCCTTGTTTTAGTACATGTTAGGATGAAGAACTCACCAAATCGTAGGTACCCTCCTCCTTTTAAAATCATTTGAACGCACACATTTGTGGTGTAAGCCTAGCCCTGCCCCGCCACACATTGAATGTTGATGACATATGTATGCTTTCTATTTTTTTAAATTTTATTAGTGATGATCATGATGACATTGTAGAGGTTGGTGGTAACGGTGCTGGTCAAAGTTCAAATCGTGGATTAAGTGATCAAGATAGTCATAAGGTGTTTATACCTTTCAGGGCTTACTCTGCACGTAAAGGGGTACGTCAATCCACTCAATACAATACAAAAAATAAGAATGTTGTCTAATTTCTCTATTCATATAATCTCTCTAATTTCCCTTTTGATTAAATCTAACTTTAACTTGTGATGATGATGTGTGAAGATAGCAGTGAAAGAGGTTATTATTGAGGATATTTCAGTGTCTAAGGGACTTCTAGACTATATCAACAACTATCATATCACCAACGTCGTTGTTGGTGCATCATCAAGAAGTGCTTTTTCCAGGTTTATGTTTTTAATTTCCCCTTGCTCATTATATATATTATTGTCCCTTTGAATTGTGGATAATGATGTTCCCTTTTAATTTAGGAAATTTTGGACTCATGATGTTCCAACTATCGTAAACAAGGCTGCACCCGATTATTGTACTGTATACGTGATTTCAAAAGGCAAGCAACAATCCGTCAGACCAGCAGCTAAACCTCTTGCTAGTTCTTCAGCAAGGCTACCATCTTCCCAACCATGGTCAGCAGCTAGGCTAAGTAATTACTCTGAACCAGAAGATATATCCAGATCAGCATATAAAAATAGTTTTGGACCTGACATGATGCCTAAAAGTGGAACATCTAATGCATCAATCGACAGTCTTGATTTTTATTCTAGAGACCCAAAGAATTCATATACTGGCCGCAGTTCTCCCTCCGATGATACTGCTCTATTTGCACCTCTTAGCCGTGGATCAGTCGATGTCACAACCCAAAATCTTGACTTCACTCAAGTTTCAGTAAACGACAATTCTAGCTCCTCGTCTATGGTAAGTGAATATGATTATACGATACATCACAGTGCCAAATTTGCTGGTTGATACACTCTTTAATTTACTATTCCATTTTAGTAATATATATATATATATTTATCCTTCAACAATTGTTGTATGCAGTGGGAGTCTGAGATGAGCAGATTAAAGCTAGAGCTAAAGCAAACCATGGATATGTACAACTCAGCTTGCAAAGACGCTGTCTCCGCAAACCAAACGGTACTAACTGTCTAAACTGTCTGGTACCGCAACGATAAAAGTCATTTATACATTTTAGGCAAAATACATGCCTTGTACAAATTAAAGTTCCTTATTTGGCACATGCATTTTCTATACTAAACCTTACAAATACTGGTGATGCGCTTTGAAAGCTAAATTTTTTTAAAAGAGCTATTAAGGCTAATGATGCCGAAAATAGTGTTTCTTTAAAGTTCACTACTCCCTCCATTTCATTTGTGTCTTAGTTTGACTTGATACGAAGTCTGAGAAAGTAAAAAAAATAATATTGAATCTTGTGATTTGAAACAAAAGATGTGTATAATGTACTAAAATATGCTTAATGAATCTTGTGATCTTAAACATGGGACATGAAATGTTAGAATTCAAGAGTTACCAACTATAGAAAGTAACAGCCCCTCTTAAAGAAACTAAAAAATGAAACTAAGACCAAGAATGGTAAAGACATATACAATCAATTCAATGTATGAATTAAGAAGTATTGTGTGCATTTTCCATCATGTTGTAACTGTTTCTGTGATCCCACACAAGGCCATCGAAAATACAAATTGGAAAGTAATGATATTGAGCTCACAAGAAGTCTTTATTGATTATCTATCTCCCTCTTCTTATTTATCCCTGGATAAATTTTGCATGTTTTAGACTGAATCTCATTTTGTCCTATAGGAGTTACGTAATGTCATGTCTTCTAAGTTTTCAGGCTAAAGAGCTTCATCAATGGAAAGTGGAAGAAGGTAGTAGGTTCAAACAGTCTCGTATTTCTGAAGAGGCAGCTCTCGTTATGGCTGAGATGGAAAAAGCTAAAGGCAGAGCTGCTGTTGAAGCTGCTCAAAAATCACAAAGGTTGGCTGAAATAGAAGCAAAAAGAAGAAGGTATGCGGAGTTGAAAGCCAGGCGAGAGACAGAAGAAAAGAATCTAGCAATAAATGATCTATCTCGAAATGAAATCTGCTATAGGAAATATACGATAGAAGAGATTGAGATAACCACCAAAAGTTTCTCAAATTCCGAGAAGATCGGTGAAGGTGGATATGGTCCTGTTTACAAAGGGAGACTTGATCACACTCCTGTTGCCATTAAAGTTTTGAGATCCGATGCTGCACAAGGGATGCAACAGTTCAAGCAAGAGGTATGTTGACATTGATGTATAGATGCATATTATATAAAACATCTCATAAAGTCAAATACTTGGTCTTAGGATTCCCTTCTCATTTGCAGGTTCAGGTCCTTGGTCTCATGAGGCACCCAAATATGGTGCTACTCTTAGGAGCATGTCCCGAGTACGGATGTTTAGTGTATGAATTCATGAATAATGGTAGCCTGGAAGATCGCCTGTTCCGTAAAGGTAACACCCCTCCAATCCCATGGGAAATACGGTTCAAAATAGCTTCTGAAATAGCTACAGGGCTTTTATTCCTTCACCAAGCAAAGCCAGAACCTCTTGTCCATCGTGACCTTAAACCAGGAAACATTCTTTTAGACAGCAATTATGCCTGCAAAATTAGTGATGTTGGGTTGGCTAGGTTAGTTCCACCATCCGTAGCTGATTGTGTTACACAATATCACATGACTTCAGCTGCAGGAACTTTTTGTTACATTGATCCCGAATATCAACAGACAGGAAAGTTAGGGACTAAATCGGATATATATTCACTTGGTGTAATGTTGCTCCAAATTATAACTGCAAGGCCCCCAATGGGTTTAACTCATCACGTGGAGAGGGCCATTGAGAACGGAACATTTGCAGATATACTAGATCCAACAGTGCCAAACTGGCCGTTGGAAGAGGCTCTTAACTATGCAAAATTGTCACTCAAGTGTGCTGAGTTGCGGAAGAAAGATCGACCTGATCTTGGTTCGGTGATATTGCCCGAGCTTAGTAGGCTAAAAGAACTTGGAATGAGCAGTCTTAACACTGCTTGATTTTCTTGAAATATTTAAAGGATCAAACATCAATCGTCAACCAGGTTGGTGGACTAGTGCCTCATCATAAGCAACAGTGGATCAACTACAATTATACATTTCTTCTCCTTTTCTTGTAAATCTTACTACAGTGTAATGAAAACAATTTATTATATTACCTTTGAATGGTTGATTAACTTGTTAAAATGTTTAGACCCTTCAAAATGCTATCATATTGAATGAAGCAGAGTGGGGATAAAATGTAGGTGCTAAATTTTTACCTTCTCTTGGAGTACTGGAAATAGATAAATGTATGAAAAATATCTAAAAATTTAATATTTTGAAGAAAAAATATCATAAATATTAAGAAGAATCTTGAAAGTTTTAGTGTAGTGTCTTTGATATTTGAACTTAGGATAAGTCTAGATATTCTAGTATCACGATTCAAAGTACACCCTAAACATGACATGACAAATAAGACCCCGAGAGATACTAAACAAGGCACTTGACATAAGCATGATGTAATGAATGCAATTTAAAAGATATAATCGATATAAGTCTCCAATGATGACATAAAACATACCAACAAAGTACATAAGAGAATACGCGAAATACTACTAAGTCTGACATAAGCCCCCTACTATCATAGATGTGACTAGAACAAACCCCTAAGTCACGAATAAAGTTTTAAAACTGAAAAGACATCAAAAGCTATAAAGTAGACCATGGTCTTGACATCGAAACATGAGGACTCGCCAATCCAAGTGCGATAGCAGAGCAATCCACTTAAGTGCGTCCGGGTGGAGGAGTGTCGGAACTTATGTTATGAGACAATATGGGCACCAATATGCATTAATACTATGAATGTACTAAGAGTGGGAAAATGCATAAAAAAGGAAGGCATGATAGTATAATGAACTTTAAACACGATATGCATGACCACGTAAAATGTGGTAAAAGGCTTTAAAGAGAAATCATAATTCATAACAAGGTCTGTCCATATTGAAAACCTACACAAGTGTAGAAGCAAGTAGGAAAATAAGGCCGATCAAACAGTATCGGATTTGAAACCTACTATTAAGATGTATGCGTCCAATATCAGTCAATGGACCAGGTCCCTTGATACAACAAGAACAGTAATGCAGGCACAAGAGATAAAATAAACAACACAATTAGTTTACGTGGAAACCCCCTTGCCCAAGGGCGGTGAAAACCACAACCTGTCCTCACAGGATTTCAACCCAACTTCATTTCACTAAAACGGAGCAACGATTGAGATTACAACTTCTTGCAACCTAGGAATTTACCTCTAAATCCCTTCCCCCTCAATGTAGCAACTCGACTACAAAGAAAGCAACTAAGCAATAACTCTATTGCCCACTAAGACACCTAATTCTAGATGACTTAGACTTCAACTAAGCAACAACAAGGTTGCCCACTAAACCACCTAACTCTAGATGATTTAGACTTTGACTAAGCAACAACAATGCTGCCCACAAACCCAGTTAACCCTAACTAACTTAGACTTTTGTTGGAAAGAAACAAGATCTAATTCCTTTATAGCACAGGAATAGATGTACAAGATAAGTACTGAAGTTTAAATCCTAAGACAACTAAGACACATGCAGCTCTATCATGTCCTTGTTGCTCTTGAGGAAAATACTTCTCGATGGAGTGGCTTTTGATTGAGTTCTTAAGAATTTCGGGAATGCAAAAACTACGGTTGTGTCTCTTGGAAGGAACCTTATAAAATAATAGTCACAACCTTGGAGGCCTGCTACTGGCCGAGGATTCTTTCACGCTCGAGAGTCGTGCACCAAACTTTTGTACTTTTTCCAGTTGTCATTTTTTCGCATAGCACCAAGGGATTAGGTCCCTTACAAGATCCTGTTGTTTGTCAAATCATCAAAACTAAAAATAACATTTTCCCCCTTTTTGATGATGACAAACACATACAATATCAATGTTTTCTCCCTCTCATCGATACTTCTCTCCTTCCCCCTCTCACCAATATTTCTCTCCCCCTTTGAGAACTAACCAACTTTATATCCTATGCAGCCCAATAATTTCCCCCATTTAGCATTATAAAAAATAAAGACAGTAAACTAGGAATAAAAGTAAGCCTGTGAAGCAAGATCATAGCCTGTAGCAACACATCATAGCAGAAAAGCAGAGAGATAAAGATTAATCAAAACAAAACAGAAATCCATTTTATTGCATAAGAGTAAGCATTCAATACATTAAAAGTGAACTGCCAAGAGAACCATGGGACAGTGTCCACACAAAAACAAAAGGGAAGAAAGGAAGGGGACTATGAGGATGGATGTTTTTGAGTAAGGGATTGGATGACAAGAGTGAGTCGATCATTGGCAGTGTCATGAGCCTTGATCAGCTTCTCTTGAAGATCAACATTTTGGGCCAGGCGACTTGCATTCTTCATCCGTAGTTCCTAGACTTCTATCGTACCAGGTCCCTCTATCTGTGCTTTTGCCAACTGAGCCTTCAGTAAGGTTATCTCAGCATCCTTCTTGCTCACAAGCACTATCAGCTCCTCCAGTTCATGCTTAAGTTGGATCTATTCCACCACTTACTCAGATATCTTGCTTAGTTGCCCTGTTTTCCCTTCCATGCATTCATACTCAATCAAGGTATTGAGGCAGAATGACTTTTTCACGGTGCCTATAGTACCTGCTCCCACGGGAACATCCAATTGCTTGAACACCTTGGTAAGGAAATATCCATACCCCATGTCATGCTTACCCTTTTGTTCCACCACGGTTTTATGCATATGCTCTAACATCAGGGTTGGGAGATTTAGAGGGTCAAGCTTGCAAAGTGCTTCCTTCAGAAACAGATCAGCCGCAGAGGCAATTGTTCTTTTCTTAGATCTTGGAAGAATTACCTTATTAAAAAACTGGAACAACAATTGGTAGTCTCCCTTCATGAGTTTGTTTCGAATTCCCGCACAATTCATCTTAGGGAGTTTGGCACACTCATTGGCAAAGTTTTTGCTGCAGGTTTGTCCGACCACGGATCTGATCCCTTCCCTAGGTACATCTAAGATTTCCCCGAATCTTTCTTCATTTAGATAAAACCTTCTACCAGCGTATTGAGGCTTCCATCCTCAGTGAACTCTATAGTGTAGTAAAATTCCCTTACTTGTTCATCATAAAATATGGGCGATTTGGTCATGAACAAGTGAGCCCATGATTGAATCTCAACTATATTAACCAAGGTGCTCATACCAAGCTTTCGAATGATATCGGGATCAAAAACCCTTCCACTTAGGACTTTCTGCATTCTCAGATTACTAACAATGTCCTTTTTGATATCATAATTTTCAACTTTCTTCCGTTTGGTGCCTGGTCCCCGTTCTGACTTGGGCTCAGAGTTGGGAGACGCTTCTCTTTCCCTTTTTTATCTCTCTTTTCCTTTCTTCTTTGGTGGCTTCTTCAGTTTTCCTTTTGGATATAGTGTCGTCCTTTTTAACAGATAGATTCTTAGACTTTGGTTTTCTCTTCTTCTTTCCCAGTTCCTCTTCCTTCTTAGTTCTATCTCCAGAGTGACATCCTCCAATACTGTATCACTTTCAGAGTGTTCTTTTGAAATGTTCATGACCCCTGGAATCACTAACTCCTCTTCTCCCGACGCTCTTCTTCTTCTAATTTCCGTAGTGCTGGTCTTCTTAGCCTTCATGGCATCACTCATGAGTTTTTGAATGGCACCCATGGTAGATGGTTTCCTTGTTGGTGTCTCCTCTACAACCTTTTCCTTTCCCTTTTTAGTGGTAGGGACCATTCATCTTTGTAAGGCCCATCATAGAGGTGTATTGTCTTCTTCATCATCCTCTAAACCACTGGAGGTTGGTAGTCCAACTTCAGGAGTTCTGTCGAAAATAGGTTCTGTATCACCAAGAAGACCCTCGGTGAAACTGCTTGCTTCCTCATTTCTTAATCCCTCTCTCACTCAGACAGACTCTCTACGACTAGCTTCTCACTTGCGGCGAGAATGTTGGATTCAGAGTACCTATTTTCTGGAAGATCTCCCTCAAATAGACAGTCACATAGCAAAGATGGGTAATGACCAGGTTGAAATGAAGGCGCTGGATCATTTTCATTAATAGGAGATTGTGGAGTAGGACGATGAGGCTCAGTAGTGTTGACCAGAGGAATGGTCGACACTTTTTTTAGAGAAGGAGCACAAGAAGAAGTGTAGAAGGCTATATGATCTATTTCATATAGGGAGTCCAACATTGCTTAGATGGAGAAGGTGATTGAGACATGTTCAAGAGAGAAGGCAAAAGATGGATGGAAGAGAGAGAGAGATATTAGGGTTTTCAGAAAACTTAGGGAAGAGAGTTTGAAAAGTCTGAGAAGAGAAATGGAGGGAAGTAGTATAAAAAGAGGTGAAAGGGTGTGTTAGGTCCCTGATTAGACGCGTCGCTCAGACTTAAAAGAAACATACCAAAAATGCAGATTTTCCAGAAGTTGCAGGTGCGACCCACGGTTGCCACCCACGGACCGTAGGAGGACCCATAGTCCGTTCTGCTGGTCCGTGGTTTGCGATTGCAACTCTTCCCCAGAAACCCCCAGTCTAAGGATCAGCCTACACCAGGACCTATGGACTGTAGGTCAGACCATGGTTTGTGGTTCAGGGCCGTAGGTCAGACCCTCAGCTTCCAGCTCCCAGTCACGATCGATGGTTGACCAGTACGGACTGTCAGTTGATCGATGGTCCATCAGTCTGGTCCGTCGGTGGCCCCCGACAACAGTTAAGTCAGGGGTCATTTGGTCTTTTCCTTATGCGTTGGACCCCTAAACTACGTAGTTTTGGTTAGTTTTAGCCTAGTAACTTAACTAGAATCTACACTAAGCAAATCATTCACCAAAAACATAGAAAAATTAGAACGCAGAAGGAGAAAGAGTCGACCAAGCCCTAGTCCTAGAATGCAACGAGTCTTCATCAGTTTCAGCCCCGAAATTGAAAGATTTCTCTGTGGAATTCTTCACCAGGTATGTGGGACTTTACTAGTGGGTTCCTTTCGCCCATTAGGTCACTAGAATTTAGTCAGATTCTTGATTCCCTTAATATTATCTAGACCT